GGCTAGCATCGAGCCAGCCGACCAAGATAGACAGTACTGTTTGTCCAACTGTTTAGTAAGACACAAATAAGACAGTGCTAATAACTGGTATATTACTATGGCTCTCACGACTGTTGATGCGCAGTGCAGCCATCTTGGATGTCAGAGTCAGGGTCGGTGTGGTTCCTCCAAGGGGTATTTGATTCATGATGGAGTGTCGGGTTCATGCCAGGACACCTGTGACACAGGGTTTATCATGGAACCAGGCGCATGTCAGGTTCTTGTGCTGGGTCCAGGCTCTGACAACGTAACAGTTGGTAGTTTTCAGTTTTAATTGTTTGACACCTGCTGGTTTCGGTCGTCTGTGCCGTTGCTGGTATTGTCTTGTTTTAAACGTGGGCTCACTAGAGCACAGTCAGTTCCTAGCAGCTATGTTGAAATGGCAATAAAGTACTGAACTGAACTGTTTGGAACTTTCCCAGGCTGGATCAAATCACCAGATCCTATTTATTGATCAGTTACATCCAGAAGTGCTGCTCAAACTACAAATCCTGGATCACTTGATCCCTATGCACTTCTGCTTGTTATTGAATATATACATTCTGTGTAATATGTCCCCATCTAGCAGTACTACTACTACTACAGTACTGCACCTTTCTTTTTGTGCATGTTCCACAAGTTTTAAACCCCTCGGATCCTTTTCTTGTTCATCCCTCTTAACTCTGAGCCGGGCTACAGTCTTAGAGCCACTGTGGTCTGATGTGTCCGTTCAGCTCAGTGTGGAGGAAACACTCCAGTCTGATCTGCTGCACACTCACTATTGTTCAAACACAAAGACAGGAAGCACACTCGCACCGGTGTGTGATGTCACAGGGGGTGGGGTCTGCACAGCAGTGTGGGCGGGGCTTGGGGCAGACAGGAAGAGCCCACACTTCCCTGTGAAAACAGAACAGGCCTGAGATCAGCTCCTGTTATTGTTCTGTGTCTGACTCGTGGTGTCTCACAGTGGGGCTGTCTTTGCCAGGCAGGGACTACCAGTTTGTTTGGTGCCCTGCTCACATGTCTGGTTTTATCCAACACTTTAGATCCCAGAGATTTTGTTTCCTGTGATAGAAGACTGAAAATGTGAGACATGAGAGGAACTGACTGATGTTGGTCTTTTACTTGGAATAAAAAGGCTTAAAATTGACACATTAGTTAATTTCCGGTTGATTGGGTTAATCATGAAGTGACTGATCTTGGCAGCTGAATTTCACATTAGGACATGGCTGGATACCAACCACTGGGTTAATCCAGCACCGAGTTTACCTGCAATCACTAACCTGTCTGCAGGAACCTGATTTCTGAGGTGTCACATTAACCAGAAATCCAAGTTCTCCTCCATGTAAATATGTAGCCAGGTTTTAATGAGCCTGTTCTCCGTGAGCATGTGCAGGACAAAGACAGGGAGAGCACCAGCTGAGCAGGGCGAGGACACTGACTCCGTCCAAAGTCCCACTGAAACCATATCCTCCTGAGATCGGAATGCACCAGTTTCTGCCACTGACCCTTTCACAGGTCAACCCAACCGACAAAGTGACTTTATCACTGATCCTGATCTGATTCCTGACCTGCTGTGCGGCAACACGTTCACACAGACCCCTCTTAAGGAAACATGGAACCTGTTGAACCTGGTTTCTCCAAGCGAATGTGCTGTGTGTAGGTGTCTGCCTGAGCAGGCACTGTCACTGATAGCGAGGCTACATGAAGGAGTGCACACAGACACATGAACACAGACGACAACACCTGGACGCTGTCACAGTCCTGAGGAGGTGACACAGGCTGGTTATATTAACACAGCAGGACGAAAACATAGCGTCCCTCTCAGAGGAAGGATGAAGAATCCCTGTGTCGAT